CCATGTTTAATTTTAGCTTTTACAATAACGCTACATTAAATCTACAAAAATAACGTAGTCTAATTTAAAAATGTACAAATAACAAGTTAAATAATAAAATTCATTCAACAATATATACAAATTACAAAAAGGTAAATAATAACATTAAAACATTGGTGATTCTATCTCATTGATACCTCTGCTTCAAGCCTTCAAATCTATATAAAAAAAATTGAAACATAAGTTAGAAATCATATAAATAATTTTTTTTTAAGTATTGCTAGTATTCACCAATCATTTAAATTAATTATTCATTGCTTGGCTTGTCAAACTAAGAAACTCTACAAGAAATAATTGAAAATGCACATTTAACAAATATAAATAAACAAAAATCTATCCAACTAATAAGATTTAATATGAAAAAATATACTATATATTTTATTACTTGACTCAATGTTAGGGATGACAACGGGCGGAGAGAGGTCTTTGCCCCGTTTACTGCCTGTTAAATTTTTTATATATATAATTTTTTTTATTGTCCATATTTATTANTACCCGTTTAAGGCAAGGCAGGTTGGCTTCTTACCCAGGCTACTACCCGTTTAATTTTTTTTTTAATAATTTATTTTTTTTGTCCATATTTATTAGATTTAGACAAATAATTTTAGTTGCTATTTTCTATTAGAACTAATGAAATTTTGTGAATTTTTTCATTTAAAGTATTGAATTCTAAAAAAAAAAAAATTTTACGGGCCGGAGCGCCCGTTACCCGTCTCCGCCCCGGGGCAAAATTTCCCGCTCCCCCCTTGCACCCCGAATACTCGATTAAGCGGGTTATTTCCGTCCCGTTCGGGAATATTGATGTATGTAGATTATTAAACTCAATTATTATAAAGTAAAAATATATAGAAAGTTTGACTTTCCAAATAAGTATTTGAAGTCTATATATCTATTTTTCTATGAGTAGTGCTATTTATCCCTTGTTTGGTTCTCATTATTTTTAAAATGTATTTTTATTTCTATTCTTTTTACTCATACGTTTTTCAATAAAATAATATTACACGTAAATTTAAAATTTTTTCGTACTTTTCAACTATATAATTTATCAATTTACTATTTTAAAATGCGTTCTTAAGAAAAAATGGGACTTAAACAATTCCTTAATGTAAGTGTTGATCAACTCGAGTCCAGTGGCTACAAATGATATTGACAAGTTTTAAAAAAAATTACATTTATAGAGAAAAATGCAAGGTCTTTTTTAGCTTTAACAATATAATTTGCCATGTAGCATATGGATCTAGTTGTCATTGTACAACCCCTAAATTGACACAAAATATTAGTGGGGACTGATATTAATTTGTAGAGCACTAGCTCGTAGCTAGAACTGAGAACTATGAAGTTTCTGACCGTTGGAAACACGGGAATCCTGGAAGCCCCCCGTCACTTCTTGAAAATATATAAACAAACATGCTACATGTACAGTCATTAGTGGACTGTAAAATTTACAGTCTACTCACATTAGTGTGGAATTCACTAATCAATGTGAGAGGAGCCCACAAATTAATTAATTAGTGGGTCCCATACTAATGTGAGTGAGCTGTAAAATTTACAGCCCACTAATGACCGTCCAGTGGCTTTTTTCATAGAAAAATGCTATTCATCCCTAATGGGGATGCATTTCTAGTCTATGTGGATGTAAATGATTGATTAAATGATATGTGAAATTTCACCTATCATTTAATGTCACATACACTGGGGATGCATCCCCAGCGGGGATGAATAGCATTTTTTTTTTCATATACAAAATTAAATTAAGCCTTTGAATCACATAAAAATTTTCATTGTCATTCTTCTACTCAATTTCAACAACATATTATTCAATAAAATAATATTTTCCATCACATCAATCTATTATTCCAAAATATGTTCTTCCAATATAATGTGGCTCAGACACACCCTAAGCTATATTTATATAGAATCATGATTCATGTACCCCTGTTTCACAGGTTCGACGGGGCAGTCACACATGTGAGGTCCATGTATAATTTTTTTTTTAAATATATTGTGGGGCTCACCATATGAGCGACGTGCGCGTGGGGATTAATTCATTTATATAACATTTGTTGAAAACCTTGATATTGTCGAAATTCGGACAGTTGATCTTAAAAAAAAGTTTATAAAATGGATAAACTTGATGCTGCCAAATGTGAAATTGTCAACTAAGATTATCAACTAACATTGTGTGGGGTAGCACGACACTATAATATTAGGCATAGCCTGCATCGAGAGCTGAAACGTATGAGAGTGGACCGAGTTCAATATTCTCGGGTTATTATTGTTTAGGTAATTGGTACAATATATCTTAATATTTATCTGTTATGTGGAATACCCTCGTAAACTTTTATTTTTGCACACCTCCCTAAATCATCCAAATGTTACGGAAAACCTCGCTGCCATCCACATATATTAATTTCTTAATTAAAAGGGATTTTTTTTTGTATCTCATCGTCTCAACATATTTACTTAAGACTCTGCGCATTTAGAAGACAGTGAAAGAAGAACCAACAAAATGAATATACGTAGAAACCACAATAATCCAAAGTCATCACACAACTTTCTCATTTTTGTATATAGAATTTTGCATCGATAAATTGAATATTCACGTTTTTAGATTGTCGTGTAGACATATAAGTTGATGCTTAATGTTTGTTTGTAAAATAACTTGGTTGCTAATAATGTTGAATTTTTTTTCTCCATACATTTGCTATTGGTTAATGTCTGCACTCTGCCGTGTTGGTTTTGATTGAGAATTGATGTTTTGATGGTTTCTTTACTTTTGGTGTTTTGTTTAGGTTTAGGGTTAGTTTGCGCAAAGTTCATTTATTCTAGGTTTGTATTCAACAACGTTTATCAATACCCAGGTTGATTTGCACATGAACGTTCGAACGTGTCTTCGTCTTCTTCTTCTTTCTCAATATAGATACACGTCCCAATTTCAAGCCAACAACAAAACCAAATTGAAAATGGGGAAATGAAATCATACCTAATCCTAATTTGATACCATTTCAAACCCAATTCATTGTCATTAAGCTTTAGAAGAGTCAAGCACATTCATCTAAAATGAGGAAATAAAATTAAAACAAGCAATTTCTCTCTTTGAAATCATACACAATCCCAGTATTCAAAGCAAATCCAATTTCTTTGTATAAATTAGCTTCAAATTTCTTCCATTTTCATATCCTAAAATGAAATTCACTCAAGATATTATTGTATCCGATAATAGTGTGGAGATAATGAGACAAAAATGCAATTCATGTTTTCACTAATTTTGGCCTCCAAAATCCCTTTCAACAGAGAAATTAACAAATGTGCAACTAAACCATTTATAATTTTTCTCTAACTGGAAGCTAAGGGCGTGTTCTCTTTACTGTTTTTAAGTCGTTTTCTGTTTTCAATTTTTCAAAACAGTGAAAACGCGTTCTCTTTCCTATTTTCGAAAACGCGTTTTTAAAACAAATTAAAAATTTATAAAGAAAAAAGAGTTTTGGGTGTTTTTAATTACCGCCAACCACCACCGAGAGAGAG